CATAAAGAGACCAATGAAAGCAGGGAATTAAAATCAACATAAATGAAGCCGGCGGCTAACAGATAAGTGTGTAAACCAGTGGGAAGTGTGGTGGTGGTGGGGGGGGGGGGGGGTCGGGAGTCACAAGACAGCGTTTCCCTGCCGTAGACGAGGACTGCCAGGTCTCCGATGTAGCCTAGTTGTCTTTAGATTGGCTGTTAAAATAGTCGAAAGAAGCAGAAGATACATTTTCTGCAGCTGGAATAGCCAGGATTTAGTTCTGTCATGCTAGGTGGCAGAAAGACCGTTTACACACTTTGGAACTTATAAGAAACTTTTGAAGAAGCCAGTCTTTAGCATTTCATCATGTTTATTTAGGTAATTTGACAGTAAAATGTTAATAGTCTGCTGTGCAGTTGACTGCGCTAACAGATAAGTGTTTAAACCAGTGTGAGGGGGGTGGGGGTGGGGGGTGGGGGCGGGGGGGTGGGGGTTCCCAAGGCGCTGAACACGGTACATGAGAAAAAAATGGTAAAAACATTAAAGTAGAAAACAAATGGGTAAAACAAGACATAAAGAGACCAATGAAAGCAGGGAATTAAAATCAACATAAATGAAGCCGGCGGCTAACAGATAAGTGTGTAAACCAGTGGGAAGTGTGGTGGTGGTGGTGGTGGTGGTGGTGGGGGGGGGGGGGGTCGGGGGTCACAAGACAGCGTTTCCCTGCCGTAGACGAGGACTGCCAGGTCTCCGATGTAGCCTAGTTGTCTTTAGATTGGCTGTTAAAATAGTCGAAAGAAGCAGAAGATACATTTTCTGCAGCTGGAATAGCCAGGATTTAGTTCTGTCATGCTAGGTGGCAGAAAGACCGTTTACACACTTTGGAACTTATAAGAAACTTTTGAAGAAGCCAGTCTTTAGCATTTCATCATGTTTATTTAGGTAATTTGACAGTAAAATGTTAATATTCTGCTGTGCAGTTGACTGCGCTAACAGATAAGTGTTTAAACCAGTGTGAGGGGGGTGGGGGTGGGGGTGCCCAAGGCGCTGAACACGGTACATGAGAAAAAAAAGGTAAAAACATTAAGGTAGAAAACAAATGGGTAAAACAAGACATAAAGAGACCAATGAAAGCAGGGAATTAAAATCAACATAAATGAAGCCGGCGGCTAACAGATAAGTGTGTAAACCAGTGGGAAGTGTGGTGGTGGTGGTGGTGGGGGGGGGGGTCGGGAGTCACAAGACAGCGTTTCCCTGCCGTAGACGAGGACTGCCAGGTCTCCGATGTAGCCTAGTTGTCTTTAGATTGGCTGTTAAAATAGTCGAAAGAAGCAGAAGATACATTTTCTGCAGCTGGAATAGCCAGGATTTAGTTCTGTCATGCTAGGTGGCAGAAAGACCGTTTACACACTTTGGAACTTATAAGAGACTTTTGAAGAAGCCAGTCTTTAGCATTTCATCATGTTTATTTAGGTAATTTGACAGTAAAATGTTAATAGTCTGCTGTGCAGTTGACTGCGCTAACAGATAAGTGTTTAAACCAGTGTGAGGGGGGTGGGGGTGGGGGTGCCCAAGGCGCTGAACACGGTACATGAGAAAAAAAAGGTAAAAACATTAAGGTAGAAAACAAATGGGTAAAACAAGACATAAAGAGACCAATGAAAGCAGGGAATTAAAATCAACATAAATGAAGCCGGCGGCTAACAGATAAGTGTGTAAACCAGTGGGAAGTGTGGTGGTGGTGGGGGGTGTCACAAGACAGCGTTTCCCTGCCGTAGACGAGGACTGCCAGGTCTCCGATGTAGCCTAGTTGTCTTTAGATTGGCTGTTAAAATAGTCGAAAGAGGGACAGCGAGCAGGCCTTGGTCAGAGCAGCGCAGAGCGCGTGATGGGGAATGTCTGTTAAGGAGCGTGGCTAGATAGGGGGGAGCACCACCCTGGAAGAAATTGTAATCAAAGACGAGGAGTTTGAAGTGTGAACGATAACAGGCCGGAAGCCAGTGCAGAGAGGCCAGAACCGGACTGATGTGGTCCCGTTTCCTGGTCCCAGTCAGGAACCTGGCTGCGCTGTTCTGCACAACCTGTAGGCGGCGCAGTGATGACTGACACAACCCTGCGTAGAGAGAGTTGCAGTAATCAAGCCTAAAAATTACAAAAGCATGGAGTACCTGCTCCAGGTGGGCTCTCGAAAGCATAGGCTTGATTTTTGCAAGGCGTCTCAGATGAAAGAAACTGGACCGGATCACTGAGTTGATGTGAGCATCAAATTTAAGTCCAGCGTCAATTTTCACCCCCAGACTGGTGACAACTGGTTTTGAGTATGGAGAAAGAGGGCCAAGATCAACATAACGACCCACAGCCCTGCTGTTGGGGTGAAAAACAATGAGCTCTGTCTCTCCGTCATTCAGATGCAGATAGTTGGCCATTAGCCAAGACCACCTTGTTAAGACAGGGATAAATGTGATGTGTTTATACTAGTTATTGATAATCCTGATGGATGGGTATTTCACCACAGATGATGCGCACCGTCCACTGTAGTGTAAAGCGAGATTATTATTAACAATATTAAAGTGCTGATGTATGATTACGTGTGTTGAAATTATGTTATTTATTTATTTATATGAGCGTCGCCGTAAATGAATTTAAAAAAAGAAAAATATATTAAGTTGCATAGCTTTTGCGTTCGCATCTACAATGGTTTGATATTTCTGCATTTTTAGGCGTAATACCAGATATTGTAGGAAAATAAGCAGAAATAAAATATTAGCTTCAGATTTTTGCAAATTTACATGAAATGCGTTTAGTTGATCGTCTTGAAAAAATGTGCACTAAAGCACAAAGATGATGGACTTTGTTTTTGAAGTTATTTTCAAATGGTGCAGCTTCTAACCTGTTCCAGTAATTTAAATGCATCTGTGCCAAAGTGTAGCACTGGGCTAACAGCATATTTAAGATCTTTGCATCACAATCTTTAGAATCAGCAAGATTCTGTGTTAAAATATCTTAAATACATATATATGTTTTGGGTTAGGGTTGCATCAGGTCAGTCTTGAATGTTTGCAGAAGTTAAAGGCTTCTTTATGGATAAATCCCATTTTGTGACTTAACACTAGTAGGGGTTGCATGACTTAATTTTTTTAAAAGTCGACAGTCTAATGAAAATCGAGTCGACTTCGACTAGTCGTTGATGACGTCATACACTTGAAGCTGCACGGGGGTGTCGGGTCGGTAGGTTCGCTGGAGTTTTTGACAATTAAAATTGCGCCCACATTTTCTAACACATCTCTTTTAACAACGGTAGTTTCTGCATCCTACTTCAGCCCTCTCCCCCCTCCCCCTGCGCAGCAGCCGCAAACTCACTGATGCGCCTGCAGCCTCTCGGAGTTCCTGCTGCTCTAAACATTAAAATAATTATTTCATTTTCTGTTCCTCACTTCTGATTACCTTCAGTGGTGTCTGTTTGTTGCAACCACCAGGTACAAAAACTAACTTGTTTTTATTTGACTATTTTTCTGTCCTGCCTGTTTATTATCTTCCTGCATCTCCTCTCAATCCTAAAGAAAAACTGCTACCTGGGTTCATATATATTCACCTTATGAGTTACCTTTGAACTGCAGTTCTAAAAGATCTACCGACCGCAAAAACAGCGGAGTGCCGCTGCTCGCCGGCCGACTACAACGGGAATGTTTTTGCTGCGGAGTTCGTGCCGGAGCGGAGATAGTGGAATTTTGGGGGTGCGTTACCGGAGGACAAAACAGGTGATGCGCCTCGCTCTGCAGCAGCGAAACGCATCAAGCACAAATTACAGACAGAAAACATTAAAGGAAATGAGCCGACATGAACGATCGCTTGTTTAATTTGTTTTTGAGGTGGTGACACCTGATTTGGCGGTGCTCAGGACACAGATGTCTGGAGTGCGTCAACGATCAGAGCTTTGCATGCGCCAACTGGTTAAGGTTAGGATGAGGGTGAGGGGAAAAGGTCACAGTTTGGTTAAATGTCCGGTTTACCGCCGGTGTCAGTACCGACGCTCTGGCACAGCGCGTCGCCTCCGCCTCCAGACGCGCAGGGGCTCATCACTTGCTGTCTTTTCCGAGGACTGCATCTTGTCAGTCATTATCACGTGACAGCGGCAAGTCGATGACAGGCATAAAAAGTCACTACAGAGCCGTGAAGTCGACTAGTTCATACAACCCCTAAACACTAGTAGTTATTTAAACAGCAGTTTTTGGGAACGTTCCTGATAATAGTAAAAAAATTAAATAAATAAAAGTGTATTAAATGCATAACTAGCCAATCAGGAAAGTTACCTCATATTTTAATGTTCTGAAATCCCTACTTGTCGCAGCATTTTGTGTCACGTTTGTCTACAATAAACACTTCATCAAACGACCCATCCAATATGGCGGCCATGTCATGTCTGTGTACAGACGCAACAAGACTCAACACCGGCCCCTGGAGTCGCAACATAAGGTTCACAGAATTTGGTGCAACAGCTGTGAACATCGCTCCTCCTGCACCCCCTTTTTGCCCTAAACGGACAACGCAAACTGCCTTCGTTGCTCCTGCTTCCAGTTCTTGCCCCGGGTTATTTGGATGATCTGATTGCTCTTTGTCTCGTGTGTGTTTTGTGTGCATGTAGACTTGTGTGCGACTACCTGAAAGATATCAGGTTTATCAAAGATGCATGCTGATTTGTGTCGAGAAAGGGCATCAAGGCATATACAAACAAACCTGGTGGGATTTCTGCTTTAGAACCTGAAATTCTCTCTTTAAAGCCTGAATGGAAATCTCTCCAGGGTGCTTTTCTATCTGCATTTAAATGTGGCTTTTTGGCTCATTGTAAAAAGAGCATTTTCCCATCTTCCACCAGCACTGAACTTTAATTGTCAGAGGAAAATAGGGCTCTAACCTTCGCATTTTCATTTGGGTTTAATACAGCGGTAAAGAAGGTGTATTAGTTCAAGAAATATGGGTTCATTAGCAATTCAGATCCGCACATCACATCTCCTTTCCTTCAGAAACAATCCTGCAGCTGCTGAAGAGTAAAATGATCATGCTCCTGAGTCCCTGCATGGCATACAGCGGTAAGGCAAAGCCATTAATGTGGTAACTTTTCCAGCCTCCAGTCAAAAGGCTTGCAGCTAGGTTCCAGCATGTCTTCCCTTCTCTGCAGGCCTGGAGCTATCTTTCTACAGTGGTGTGTATGGAACGTGTATCGGAGCGACTGCACAGTTTGGAGAAGCAGCCAAAGGCTTGATTGGGATCTCTGGGATCGTGGTAGGCATTGGAGAAATAGTAGGTGGGCTCCCCCCCCCCCCCCCTCACAGAACATGTTCAGATGCTTTAAGGTCTTTGGATTAATGTGAAGCATCCCGGATCCCATCAGGCGGAGGCTTGTTTGGACTGCTGTGCAGGAACAGTCGCTTCAGACGAACCTCTGTGGTGTTTCTGGGTATGGTCGTCCATTTTATCGCCTCTTACTTGATCTTCCTAAACATCCCAGACGATGCACCAATTGTCTTTGAATCCGCATCTCAAAAGAGCCCCTACCTAACTCCGAGGTAGATAATTTCTCTAAAACGTCTGGTAGTGATTCGTGTGGTGTCTGAAGGAGTTTGGTCTCCCCCCCTCAGCGCATCCATCGCCCTGTTGTGCAGCTTCTTGCTCGGACTTGGAGACAGCTGCTTCAACACGCAGCTCTACAGCATCCTGGGCCATGTTTATGCGGAACAAAGCACGCCTGCTTTTGCCATCTTCAAATTCATCCAGGTAATCCTCAATTGCCTATTCCCAGACATTGTTAGCGGGGCTGAGCAAAGCTCAATCAAAATGTTGTTCTGTCAAGTGTGAAATAAATTCAGCAGAAAGCTCATTATTGGAAATGCGAGGTGACAGAAAAGCACATCTTCACCTCTCCTCCCTCTCCTGCTGCAAAGGTGAACAAACATCACACCCCCGAGTAGATGTTTTCCTGATCTGCATCATAAAGCCACACTTTAAACTCTTTAGTGATATGAAATGTACAGAAATGGTTCGATCCTTCTCCTTAGGAGAATATGGGATGCTTTGTTCCTACAGTCTACAGATCTAACGTTCTAGACTCTGCAGTGCCGTTCTTTATTAACAGTAAATGTCTTTTGTTAGTCTGTCAGCGCAGCCGTGGCGTTCTTCTACAGCGGCTACCTTCTGCTGATGTGGCAGCTCCTGCTTCTGGTCATCCTGGGCTTCACGGGAACACTCTGCTTCTTTGTGGTGGAGAGGATGCAGGACTTCACTACTGATTTACAGGAAGATTGAGAAGCAGGCAGGCCCATTAGGGATCCACAGAGTTCTGGGATGCTCCCGTTTTGGGAGGAAGTGGAGCCCTAAGGGAGCATGTCATCCTCTGTTTTTATCAAGTGTTGTTTTAACGTTTTTGTACATTTGAATAAATCTGATCCAGGATGCCAGTGTTAGAGCGAGGCATCGATTGTGCTGTACAGACTTTCTACACGTAACACAATTGCACTTAATTTAGTCTCTTACTAAATTCTTCTATTATTTTGTCTTTTGCATGACGCCCAGCTCAGGTTTGACCTAGAGGACGATACTGTTAAAGAATCATTTAGAACATTTTAAGGCCTTTTAGATGTATAAATCTACTAATTAATGCCTGACAATCAATACATGTTATTGTTTTTGTACAATCTGGATACAGATATAAATGGTTTCTTCCATTTAGTAAATCTTGGACTTGACTGGATTAACCTGTTTAGATATGTCCAGCATTGCTGCTAAACTTGTGTAGTCCAGGTGTTGTGGGACTAAAATACATTGAGGTCAAATACAACTTTTTTCTTACTCATTAATTAAACAGATTTTCCTCAGTAGGGTCACGAGAAAGCTTGTGCCCATGTTAATGCTGGGCCCGATTACTGCCAGAACGATCAAACTGAATAAGTCACTTCAGGAGAATCTGTCTGACATGATGTAGGCTAAAGGATCTAATAAAGGAACACACCTGTTCTAAAGGATCTAATAAAGGAACACACCTGTTCTAAAGGATCTAATAAAGGAACACACCTGTTCTAAAGGATCTAAAAATGGAACACACCTGTTCTAAAGGATCTAAAAATGGAACACACCTGTTCTAAAGGATCTAATAAAGGAACACACCTGTTCTAAAGGATCTAATAAAGGAACACACCTGTTCTAAAGGATCTAATAAAGGAACACACCTGTTCTAAAGGATCTAATAAAGGAACACACCTGTTCTAAAGGATCTAATAAAGGAACACACCTGTTCTAAAGGATCTAATAAAGGAACACACCTGTTCTAAAGGATCTAATAAAGGAACACACCTGTTCTAAAGGATCTAAAAAAGGAACACACCTGTTCTAAAGGATCTAATAAAGGAACACACCTGTTCTAAAGGATCTAATAAAGGAACACACCTGTTCTAAAGGATCTAATAAAGGAACACACCTGTTCTAAAGGATCTAAAAAAGGAACACACCTGTTCTAAAGGATCTAATAAAGGAACACACCTGTTCTAAAGGATCTAATAAAGGAACACACCTGTTCTAAAGGATCTAATAAAGGAACACACCTGTTCTAAAGGATCTAATAAAGGAACACACCTGTTCTAAAGGATCTAATAAAGGAACACACCTGTTCTAAAGGATCTAAAAATGGAACACACCTGTTCTAAAGGATCTAATAAAGGAACACACCTGTTCTAAAGGATCTAAAAAAGGAACACACCTGTTCTAAAGGATCTAATAAAGGAACACACCTGTTCTAAAGGATCTAAAAAAGGAACACACCTGTTCTAAAGGATCTAATAAAGGAACACACCTGTTCTAAAGGATCTAATAAAGGAACACACCTGTTCTAAAGGATCTAAAAAAGGAACACACCTGTTCTAAAGGATCTAAAAAAGGAACACACCTGTTCTAAAGGATCTAAAAAAGGAACACACCTGTTCTAAAGGATCTAATAAAGGAACACACCTGTTCTAAAGGATCTAATAAAGGAACACACCTGTTCTAAAGGATCTAATAAAGGAACACACCTGTTCTAAAGGATCTAAAAAAGGAACACACCTGTTCTAAAGGATCTAATAAAGGAACACACCTGTTCTAAAGGATCTAATAAAGGAACACACCTGTTCTAAAGGATCTAAAAAAGGAACACACCTGTTCTAAAGGATCTAATAAAGGAACACACCTGTTCTAAAGGATCTAATAAAGGAACACACCTGTTCTAAAGGATCTAAAAAAGGAACACACCTGTTCTAAAGGATCTAATAAAGGAACACACCTGTTCTAAAGGATCTAATAAAGGAACACACCTGTTCTAAAGGATATTAAAAAGGAACACACCTGTTCTAAAGGATCTAAAAAAGGAACACACCTGTTCTAAAGGATCTAATTAAGGAACACACCTGTTCTAAAGGATCTAAAAAAGGAACACACCTGTTCTAAAGGATCTAATAAAAGAACACACCTGTTCTAAAGGATCTAATAAAGGAACACACCTGTTCTAAAGGATCTAAAAAAGGAACACACCTGTTCTAAAGGATCTAATAAAGGAACACACCTGTTCTAAAGGATCTAAAAAAGGAACACACCTGTTCTAAAGGATCTAATAAAGGAACACACCTGTTCTAAAGGATCTGAAGAACAAATGAACCCAGAACAACATCTAAGTGCTGCATGTTCAGCAATCAGAGCTCAGGAGGGCAACATGGCCTCTATGAGAGGGTTTGTGGATGAAAACCACTGCTGACCAAAAATAACAATGATCCAGCTCAGATTTGGAAAAAAAAAACGTTATGATCCTTAAAACTTTGGGAAAATACTCAAGAGACAAACGGGAAACCCCTAGTCTAGGGGTACTTCTAGTTTAGAAATCATGATTTGAAAACTGTTTTGTATTTTCTCATTAATAATTAAATCTGTGTGAAAAGCAAAAACCAGAGGAAATCTGAAGGTGCAAACCCTTTTACACTACTGTTTTTATACTAGTTTATAACTAATGTTTCATGATTAAAGTGCTTCTGAGCTGTAAAGTCAGCCTGTTTCTCTTAATGCTTTGGCTCTCCTACATCTGGGACTCAACGGTCTACTTTATTAACTTGGCTGCGACTGCTCTGATTTACCTGGACAACCTTGATATTTCAGGTCAGTCTTGCTCTCACCATAACACCCGTTATTCTCTCACCGGCTAAACAGACTAAACCAATTAGGCTAATAATATGAAACAGAGGACAACGTGTAAGAAAAGGGGTTAGCACCAGATGTCATTTGTTGGTAATTAGGTACTGGTTAGGAGGTTTATAAATATCTGAATAAATGATGTCACCAACAAAACGCTGAGAAGGATGGGAATAAACAGAACCCTGCAGGACTCGTGTGGATAAAGCAGAGCCGTAGCTCAGTTTAGATACGTCTAGTACCTGATTCATGGATGAGCCCTCTACTGGGATGAGAAACATCAAACAGCAACGAAACGTTCACATTTGTAAATGCTAACACCAACATTTTACCATGAACCTGAGCAGTTTTCATTTTCAACCCTCCCCACCAACGCTCCACCTGCCTGATTTCCCAACCCACCCCTTTAGCCGACCGAGCATCGGGTTGACAACAGATCAAATGTGCACATCGGAGCCGATCTGCTTTATTTTGTCACATCCTGATGCCAAAGTAACAATACGCAGGTTTGACTGAAACGGGCCTGCAGGATGCACGGCTAGAGCGTGAACATGCCGCAGTCTGTCGCCAGTTATTATGTTTTCAGAGCAAGACGAGAGCGTCGCGGCGTTTATCCAGAGAGGCTGTTTGAATTTCAAAGTCTGCACATGCCCTGCGGTTCGGTTCATTTAATATAATACATTTCTTTTGTGACCTGCTTGATTGCTTCAGACTGTCACTTTATTCAAAGAGTTACGATTTGTTAGTGTGTTTCTGTACCTGCAGCTCGCTCGCTTATTAAATCTGAAGACTTGTCTCATTTTCCACAATTACGAAAATCACATATCGGAGGGTATTTGTGTGAATAGGGTTGAGGAGACAATTAAATCAGCCAATTTCTAAAGAACAGACTATTAAATCAGACAACTAACAGCTATAGTGTTTTGTTTAGGTTGCTGCGTTTAGCCTTTCACACAAATCACTCATCAGCAGCTAAATGAAAGTAATCATCCAGCAGCGGGTGTTCATGGATCAAAGCTTTGTGTGATCAGCGCTTCTGCTAACATGACAATTAGCATCACATAAGCTAAACACTCTTTAAATGATTCCCCACAGCAGCCACAGGAAGCACAATACATCTGATTTATTAGGAATCATGACCACCAGAAGCTGACAGAGAAGCTGACGTCTAAGGATCGGACATAATGCCAGTGTTTGACTGGGATAAAAAGCACGTCTCCGGGCTGCAGCACACACTCCAGGTACGGAGCTCTGACAAACTTGGGGAAGCGTTCGGAGTCTGGATTCTCCACTTCAACCTGCATGGAAAAGTTCAGAAGCTGACAAACTGAATTGTTTTTAGGCAGTTTTGAAACGCGCTCTTTTTAAACTGTCAGACGCACCTGACTGGTATTGTGGAGGAGCTGCGACTGATGGGGGTAAAGCTTGTCTGTGTCCTCTGGGGAATACAGGCGGACGTATTTGCTTCCCACCACCTTTGTATGCAGACAGAATCCCAAGAGGTTAAGAAACTGTGATCCTGTGACGAAGGTTGTGACAGTAACAGGATTCAGGAGGTAGGGATTGTTGTCGTCACCTGGGCCAGGAAGTTCTGCTGAGGATCCTGGTGAAGTGGAGACACTGTACCTGTGGGTCCAAACCAGGCGTTGACAGTAATATCATCTTCATCTCCTTCACCCAGACAGCAGTAATCTGGGATGTGGATGTCCTCTTTTAGCTCTGGAATCTTTTCAGAAAAAACAGCAATTATCAATTTAGGCTAGTTTTACTGACGCTTTAGCTTCTGAGTTCTATAAATGACACCCTCTCCACCCACCACCTCCAGAAACAAATGGACACAAGGAAGCTAGAGGCTGTTTTGTTTCAAAATAAGACTAAACAGCAGTTATTGCATAGACTGTGCCAGTCCTAATGATCCTCCCCGACTTAATTTTTATTGCAATGCCACTTGTTTATTCATTTGAACATCACTACTGAGACTAGGCAGAGACTTTCAAAGCCCTAGCTATACGTGTACACTTGATGTTTCTATTTTTGGGGACCATTTCATGTCAGTCTTACAATTTTCCTAAATTTTGACCTTTTCTCAAAACATTTAATTGGGATTCTTCACCGTGGAGCAGGTGTGCCCAACCCTGGTCCTCGAGAGCCCCGATGCAGCATGTTTAATCAGTGGGTGATTGATAGGCCCACACAGAGCAGCACCAGCTGCTGAACACGCGACTTAACCGTTGAACCAGGAGCACTGGAGCAGGGACACAACTAAAACATGCTGGACAGGGGCCCACGAGGACCAGGGTTGGACCCCCCAGCTGCTACAGATCTGATATCAGCTTTGTGAGACTTTCGGATCATATAGTGCCATTACAGAATCACTATGCTTAAACTGTGTGTTTTGTCATTAATGCAGGACCAAAAAGAGTTGGACACAAGGACCCAATCATTTTATATCACTGGGGGGGGGGGGGGGGGGGTTTAAACTTTAAAAAGTGCTCATTGGTTAGCAACAGTGTGACAAAAACCCTCAGCTTTACCTCTCATCTTTACTTTTAGGCTTTTCCACGGAAAGATAAACTGCTGTCATTTGTCATCATTTATATTGAACATTTCAGGAGCTTCTCATTTTTCTTTCAAGATGTGCCAAACCACAGCCACAAGGCCGTCCTCATGGAGATAGATTTTATCGTTTTGTTTTATTCAGTGAAACACCTGAATAAAAACAGGGAACCAAGTGTCTCATAAGTGTTTTTTTCTTTCAGGAACGTGTTGGAGATCATTTTGTATTTTTTCCAATCTGACACTATTATTGAATCAGAATCAGAATATGTGTGAGGAATCACAACATTAGGAAACTGCTGCCGTACTTGGTGCAAAAAGAAAGATAAAAGTAAGAGATATGCTAATATAGAAAGTAAGAATATAATCATGAAGTAACAAAAGGTAAGAAAACAACCGTGACTTTTCGTTAAAGGGAGACCAGGCAGTTTTAGCTTGCATTTAGCACCCCCTAGTGTCCGTTTGTAAAACCAAAAGCAAAATTATCTCCTCACTGTGCGTTTGTCTTCTTAACACCTTAATCTAACAGCTGGAATGTCTCCCAGCCTTCATTAGTGTTTACATGTGGTTCATAACTAAATTAAACTAACCAGCTCTGCTCATAATCTAAAACATTATTATTAAAACATGCAAAATGTGCTGGAAGCAGACTGCAGCTTCAGGTAAGTCCCAAAAGAGTGGTCGGCAACTCTGAAGTTGCAAGTGGAATATTCTGGCCACAGGGGGCCACAGGTGGCCTTTCATTAACCCTGCAACATACATAGTATGTCCGTGTCTTGCAATATGCTGCGTAGATGCGATTCAATTCAAGTTTATTTATAAAGCGCCAAATCACGACAAGAGTCGTCTCAAGGCACTTCACATAGTAAACACTCCAATACAGGTCAGTTCATTAAGCCAATCAGAAAAAAGTTTCCTATATAAGGAACCCAGCAGTTTGCATCAAGTCACTGACTCGTGTCAGTGACTTTACAGCAATCCTCATACTAAGAAAGCATGCAGCGACAGTGGAGAGGAAAACTCCCTTTTCGAGAGTTTGAGCCCAAGTTTTTTTCCTTTTTTTTCAAGATTTTTAGTGGTCGAAGGTTACAATTCTAGACTACTGCCTATGTGTTTATACATATACCTTTGTTATTATTCTTCAAATGATCCTCTTATGTGTTGGTGCTGCTGTAACAAGTGAATTCCCCCACTGGGATCAATAAAATCTATTCTATTCTATTCTATTTTAAAGGGTAATTTTAGCACATACTGGCTCTAGAAAGTGATTTAAAAATATGAAAAAGTTGCAAAGTATCCTTTTAATGCCGTTTATGAATCATGCAATAAAAAGTAAAGCCAGAGGCGTACCTGATCAAAAAGCTGGTGCTGAGCAAGATAACCCACGGCTCTCTCTCCACTCTGAGAATCCTGGACCTGAAAAATAACCCTAACAGTATTATTCATCATTAGAGATGATATGATATAACTAATAAATGAAACTCCTGTAGGGTTCGCTGACTTTTTCTAGAATGTACTTGTCGATGAACTCGTTGACGGTGAGCAGTGTTTGTGACCAGTCCTCATCCGTGTACCTGGACCCCACCTCCACAGGAACCGTCCGACAGCCCGCCACCGACCTCAGATACTCTAAGCTTTGCAGGAGGGAGACAATTACCAACACAATCCACCAAAACACACTGATCATTGTGGTTTAAGTGGTGCACCAAAATATGTTAAATGACCACTTTTGGATGAGAAACAGAACCCAAGAGTTTTGAGTCAGAACTAAGAATGAAAACGAGAAGGCGAGGGTGTCTGGGTGAGCTAATCAACCTGGGCCATCACTATGAAGGAAAAAACCCAAAACTTAGATCGTTAAATAAACCACAATAACTGGAAATCTGTATGTTACATGTCAGCTGTCCCTTTGAGAGTCCTCCAGCTTTCTGTCCTCTCAGCTGGAAAAGTGCACTTAGCTATTGTCACAAGAGCAGATCAGTCTGATTACACGGCTGGACTGAATGGAAGTGGGGCTGTTATATTCCACATCGCCGGAGGGTTTTGTTAACTCTGAAAAGCTCATTCTGACAGAGTAAGACTCTTGTAGTCAAACTTGCTTTACTACTCCCGAGTGTTTTAACATGCGGACTATAAAGGAACATGGTGATTGTCACGTAGAAATAAACATGCTAACGAGCCACATAACAGGGAATAACAACATTCAGCTGAAGGAGAATGTATTCTGATGAGACAAACCTCCAGGGACGGTTGTTGAGGGCGGGCCAGTGGTCGATTATCCCTTCTAAAATCACCGGCTTGAGAGGAACCAAGTACTTTGTATTGAAGCTTTCCAGAGAAGGACACTTAATCCTCTCCACCGCCAACTCTTCTTTGATTGGAGGAACACGTGGGACCACAATCTTCATTCTCTGGTAATGACGACAGAAATGAATGGGGGGTTGGGGGGGGGGGGGGGGGGGGGGTTGGGTCATTTTCAGTCTAATAATAAAAATGACCTAGTTTTAAACTTTTAGGGTCTTTATGAGGGTGTGTTGACTTCCTTTACCAAATATAAAAGTTCAATTTGTTTCAAACGGACACTTGGTGAAACAAAAAGGAAACATATGAACATACAACTGTTATTAATAACATGTTTGTGACATTTTAAAGACCAGATTAAAACAGCCGGTATAGAAAAATGATAAATAGCCATCACAGCCCTGCTTTGTAAAGAATTACTCACAGATTCTTTGGATGCTTCAACAGTTTTAGGTTGACATTTTCAGGGCACAGACTAAAAATGTATAATCAAGTTAAAAAAAAAAACAAAAAAAAAAAAACAGAAGCAGCAGCCAACCCCCGTCTAAACAAAGTGATCTGACCTTTGAGAATGTGTGGCACTTCATCTTCAGTGACATCTGATGAGGTGCACCCAGATGAAGGGCAAGAAGGGAGATACTTTTTATAAAAAATAACTTTTCTACAGTCTATTCCACAACATCAGCCTTGAACTTTTGATTATAATGTAAATCAAGAGTTTCACAACAACACCACATAAAACACGTTCCTCTAACTTACTAGAACATTTGCTAATTTAAAGGATAAAATAAATTGGCCAGCTGACCTTGGCTTCAACATAGTCCGTTTCTTCTTTAGTGGTTTTTCTTATTTCACTTTGCAGAATCCGAACAAAAACCTGGAGTATATTATCCATGACGGCCGCGCCCATGAGTAAACCCATGTCACACGTCCTGACAGCCTGAAGGATCTCATGCTCTGATGGACTTTCTCGACATAAAGCGGCCACTTTAAACAGGCAGCCATAGGAGTAAAGTCGCCTCCAGTCCTTGTCCACATCACGCCATGTTCCGGTGTTGAGTCTCTCCCATGAAATGTCCAAAACGACTTGAGCATAAAGAGTTTGGTTGTTGCTTCTTGTGGTGCTGTACAGTTGGTGTCTGGATCTCGTCAGCATTTCCACCACACTCGACTCCACTTTGTCACTGAACTGCAGAGGGAACTGTTCCTCATTAATCGGTAGAGCAGCTGAGAGTTTTGACCACAAGGATTCCATTGACAACTAGGTCCTCCTGTATTCTGTAGAATGAAGAAACAAGAAGTGCCAAAGCATCGCAAAATGTTAGAATGCAGTGTTAAGCTAAAGTTGTAGCTAAACTGTATGGAAAGTCTAACTTGGATTAAAGCCAACACTTTTCAGAGGTATGGGCTGGAATGTAATCACATGCATGCTTGGCTGCATGCTGGGCTCATCAGTGGCCCAATCTGCAATCCCTACCCACCACCACACACATACACTGGATTCTTGTTTATTTCATTAATGAAAAATCTCTCTCTGCTGCATGAAAACAGAAGTCTGCTCCTAATTTCCAAACTGGCAGACACAGGTGAGGACATCCTGAGCCAGAACTGGTCGTGTGACACATGCACAATGACGGCGCTCTCTGGAAGTGCCAGCCCTGTCTTTGTGTGACTCCATCCATGTTTGGATGCTGCTCTGTGATGCTGGAGGTGCTGCCAAGGCTTGAGGCAGCCAACTTTGTGCACCTGACTCTTTTGAAAATAGAAAATCCCAACCACGTGAACGCAAATGCATGCTAGATTGTTCCAAAATGAAGATTTTTTTAGTTAATATATCACATGTCTAAAGGGTGGTGCAGCCCTGCAGCAGTTCCCAGAGACAGAAATGCCAATAGATGAAACACTCGAGCCAAACAGAAAAAGAGGAAAACATTAACATAGAGCTGGCATTTAAAAATTACACAAAATATTTCTGAAATTCCTCTGGTAAACAAAAGTTACCTTCATCTTTTAAACAAAATGTTAAACAACTGCAGACATGTAGACACAATTCGCTTTGAGCTCTTTAAAAGGCTTTTGTTGCCAAATCTCCCTGACTTTAAGACAAGTATATTACGTAATCAATTAAAAACTTTTTAATGTGACCAAACTTCTACTCAAAAAACTCAAATCTCCTTAAAGGTAAAACAACTTTTTACAATCAGCTAACGCGTTGTGAACGTTGTAATGCATTTATACTTTTTTTTAAAACAATGTTGCAAATATAAAAAGCCACTTTAGTTTATTTTGAAGGCGCCGCACCTTAAAATAAACCCCAGCTTAAAATCAGAACAGTTGTTTAGTAAAAAGCAAAGTAAAAACGACTATTTACCTGTTTTGTCTTTATTTACATCGCTAGCCACGCTAACACGGCTGCAGCTAGCGGTGGGACAACAAAAACACACCGGAAGGGAACCGGAGCTGCAGGAAATATCAGTTCCACTTTTTAGTAGGTGTTGTCAAAACTGTGAAATGGCTCCAAAAATAGGGATGATTAATCATAAAATCCAGTTTTATCACAAACCGAAGAGTTTCAATGATCATGGTATGTTAAGTCTTTGATTTTGACACAGAAAAAGCATTAATTCACCGTCTGGTCCAGCAGAGGGTACTGTAAGTGGAAATCCAAGCTGGACTGCTACAAACTGAAATCACACACTTGTTTTTCATGTGTGGGCAGTTTCCTACTATCTATACACTCTCCCACATCACACTCCCACACACTCACATTTGTCCACACCTTAGTCTTGTTGCAGCTCAGAAGTCCGTTCATCTCTCCTCTGAGCTCTCTGTTATTAAACCGGTTGAAGCTGAGCAAAATGAGTTTAACAAAGCCTCATTTAAATACACGTCAAGTCATCTACATCTGTTTCAACAACAGGTGGACCAGATTGTCTGATCCCTGTGCTGCGTTGAGAAAACTCTTGTCATGATAAATGATGGCAGAACTGACATTGTCCCCCCCCCCCCCTCTCTCTCTCTCTCTCGCTCTCTCTCCTTTCATAGCTCCTGCTGTTCATGATTGTATGTTGTGTAAATACACCTATCCCTAGAGGGCTTACTGATTTGTGTCTGCTCACATGAAGCTAAAACAATAATCTGGTTTGTCTTTTTGATGTCACATTCGGGTTTCTGGGTTTTTCATCTCTCTCTCTCTCTCTCTCTCTCTCTCTCTCTCTCTCTCTCTCTCTCTCTCTCTCTCTCTCTCTCTCTCTCTCTCTCTCTCTCTCTTCTTTTGCAGGGAGCTGGCCTGAACAAACACGACAGGAAAGGAAAACCTTCAGCAGTGGAAGTGTGGAATCTCTAAACTCTCAGCACTATTATCAAATGTCAAACATTCTGTGAAATTCAAATAATCTCAGTGGAAAGCGCAGAGCTGTTCTTGTATGTAAAGCAGACGGGGCTGAGTGACGTGCTGCCTTTCCTGGAATCACAGGGGATTTTAAGATGTTTCAAGCATCTCTGTTCACTCTGACTGTGTAAACAGCAGAATCCTTGTGGCTCAGTCTATTGTTCACTTACTTCCATGAAGGTGGGAAATGCCTATGTGATGGCGAAAAAAGCTGTGTGATTGATTTTTTTAATGCTTTTGCAACTGCTAATGGAATGGGGAAATGAAACTGGTCATGAATGTAGTAGAAATGCAGATAAACAGCATGTAATATCAGCTAAATGACATCAAATTAAGAGGCAATCTTTGTACACCCTCACAGGACTCCGGCCCCTAAAGACAACATTGGATTCTTGTGCTAGAACTGTTTTTATTGTTTGAGGACACTTGATTGGAATCTAAAATAAGTAAAAACTGTTATTTGGGGGCGGGGGGTGTCAATATTTAAAAGAACTTTTAAACTACCAAATGAATGTGCTGGTCTAACGAGTGAATTTCCCCACTGTGGGATTTATGAAGTCTATTCTGTTTTATTTAAATGTTCCAAAGCAACACGTGCTTTTCCACATTTATGACATCCTACAAATCCAAACTAGCTAGAAGGAAAATGAATGAAATTCATACCAAACACAAGCTGGGGTTCCAGGAGGATTTGTAAGAAATATGTAAGACAGCCTCAGAGCCAGGTCGCTGCCTGTATTTGTAATGTACACTGTGATCCATCAGCCCACAGCAGGTGAGACACGCTGTCTTCATTATATTGTGTGGGAATCTCAGAAAGACAAACCTCACAACATGACGGGACTGTTGTGTTTGTGCATCGGTGGTGGTGTGAGCGACTGAGGTGGTCCCAGCAGGGGAGACTGATGTATTTTTCACACATGTCCAACTCGTGGTTGTAAGACCGTGTGAGGCTATGCTGAAGGTCACAAGTCTGGCAACACTGTTCCTCCACATGCTCTCAGGCACGACTTCATGCTCAGAGGTCAGCGACCTTTCTCCTGTTAATGTAGAAGAAGAGGGCAAGATAACCACTCCTCCTGGGGCCTTGTTAGTTGGTGCCATTCAAAAAATCCAGGATTTAATTAGAAGATGTTTATGATACATTGTTTTTTATTGTTTAAAAATAATAACAAAAATACAGAGAAATGAATAAAATAAAAGGACAGCACATGACCAAGTGCACACTCTCTTATTTTCTTTTTTTAGCTGCTTGTTTTCTGATACTTTATAAATGATCTTAAGTCATTTTCGAATCAAATAAATCACACAGGTTTAAGTGTGAGTGAATTCTAGTAATACATGAATAAAACAGTTATTAATCTAGATTGAAAGGTGTATTTGAAATAGGATTCCATGTTTTGTCTCACCTGATTTAGATAACTTTTTGAACAGATTCAGCTTGGAGAAATGCAGATTAGTACAAATCTGACAGAGAAGCTATTGCATCCTGTCAGAAGGGGGCCAGTCACAATGACACTTCCCAGTCTTGTCACATTTTGAGGATGTTTAGGACCCAAATATGCAGAAACACAGGATGACACGAGGCTGGAGATGATGTGAAGTAAATATGCTTTATTTTGCAGGACGAACAAAAATAAATCCAAAGGCAGCGAACCAAAAGTCCAAAAATCCAAAAACCCTGGTAACAAAAACAAAAGCTCACTGAGAGCACCAAAACCAGGAGACATAAGCTCAACTAGAGCATGAAACAACGCTGACAAACATACAATGGACCGACATCAACACAGAGACAAGACAGGGCTTAAATAGACTGGGAAGATGAGAGGGAGATAATTGCAGGTGTGTGGGGAGAGGGGCCAGGTGAACACAATTACTAAATCAGGGAGGAGGAAGAAAACATTGGTGGGAAAAACACTAAATACTGAAAGGCTGTAACAAAGGAAAATGACCTAAGAGAAAAAACAAAAGACCAGAAAGCATGAACCATGACTAATATACTAAGGGGAAGCTGACACTAAAGGAAAACACTATAGAAAGAAACAACAGGGGCGTGGCTAAGAGGGGGCCAAGAGAGCACAGGACCTGGCAAAGGGATGTCTGAGGGGGGAAACCTAAATTGCAAATGGGGAACACCAGGAGACACATGAGGAAGACACAGACATGACACATGAGGGCGCTAGAAGACACAAAAGGAGCACCTAGAGAGGATGGAGAAACACCAGAGGCACATGAAGGAAGGGGCAGACGCAGACCATGGCAAGTCTTGAGCATTTTACAGGAACTGATGAAATTGCTGTAGTAAATAATTTTAAATTGTTGTAAAATTCCTATTTCATGGTTATTCTTGCAGAATAGTTTTGAAATCCTGCAGCTACTTTCAACTACGAATATCCACAGATTTATGTGTACTTAATTATAATTGAAATGTTAAATTTAGAGTCATGTGGTGCAACTATTGCTTTCATGAACAGATAATGAATTCTTTAGGTTGTTTGAAGACAGCAGAAACTGTTACTCAGAAAAAGGAAGGTAGCAGTGACGTGCGACCCGTCATCATGACAAGTTACTATGATACAACAGAAGTAATTGTGTCACTTATGCATACATTATTTTCTGTATGAGTTTAACATGTTTAAGATTGCTGAATTTACATGTTTCCTGATCAAATACACGCCAGAAGCAGGAGGGGAGGCAGAAACAAGAACAGCCTCCGCTCTACCTAGATGCCCCGCACACACTAGCACATGCGCCAACTCACTGTGTGTGCAATGCTGCGCCGTTAAACTGGAGGCAGAGGTGAACACTGCCTCCATGGAACAGCACTGCACACACTGACTGAAACAGGAAGCTGCTGTCTGTCTGTACATCGCCAACATTACGTGTTTCATTCCACAGTCCACATGTGCTAGTGTGCTAATGCTACATGTGCTAGTGTGCTAATGCTACATGTGCTAGTGTGCAGTCTAAGATATTTAATGACTTTGTGTGACATATTTACAGGTGCTGGCCAGTAAATTAGAATATCATCAAAAGGTTGAAAATATTTCAGTAATTCCATTCAAAACGTGAAACATGTACATTATATTCATGCAATGCACACAGACCAATGTATTTCCAATGTTCATTACATTTAAATTTGATATTCATAAGTGACAACTAATGAAAACTCCAAATTTGGTATCTCAAAAAATTAGAATATTCTGAAAAGGCTGAATATAGAAGACACCTGCTGCCACTCTAATCAGCTGATTTACTCAAAACACCTGCAAAGGCCTTTAAAAGGTCCCTCAGTCTTGTTTTGAAGGCACCACAATCATGGGGAAGACTTCTGACTTAACAGCTGTCCAAAAGACAATCATTGACACCTTGCACAAGGAGGGCAAGACACAAAAGGTGATTGCTAAAGAAGCTGGCTGTTCGCAGAGCTCTGTGTCCAAGCACATTAACAGACAGGCGAAGGGACGGAAAAAATGTGGTAGAAAAAAGTGTACAAGCTCTAGGGATAACCGCACCCTGCAGAGAATTGTGACGACAAACCCATTCAAAAATGTGGGGGAGATCCACAAAGAGTGGACTGCAGCTGGAGTCAGCGCTTCAAGAACCACCACGAGGAGACTCATGAAAGACATGGGATTCAGGTGTCGCATTCCGTGTGTCAAGCCACTCTTGAACAAGAAACAGCGCAAGAAGCGTCTCGCCTGGGCCAAGGACAAAAAGGACTGGACTGATGCTGAGTGGTCCAAAGTTATGTTTTCTGATGAAAGCAAGTTCTGCATTTCCTTTGGAAATCAAGGACCCAGAGTCTGGAGGAAGAGCGGAGAAGCACAGAATCCACGTTGCATGAGGTCCAGTGTAAAGTTTCCACCGTCAGTGATGGTGTGGGGTGCCATGTCATCTGCCGGTGTTGGCCCACTCTGTTTCCTGAGGTCCAGGGTCAATGCAGCCGTCTACCAGGAAGTTTTAGAGCACTTCATGCTTCCTGCTGCTGACCAACTTTATGGGGATGCAGACTTCACCTTTCAACAGGACTTGGCACCTGCACACAGTGCCAAAACCACCAGCACCTGGTTCAAGGACCATGGTATCCCTGTCCTTGATTGGCCAGCAAACTCGCCTGACCTTAACCC